GTTTGGCAACATGAGTCAGTTGGCATTTCTGTGTGGAGTTTGCATGTTCTCCTCGTGTTGGTGTGGGTTTCCTCCGGGTGCTCCGGTTTCCCCCACAGTCCAAACACATGCGCTATAGGGGAACTGATCAACTAAACTGGCCATAGTGTATGAGTGTGTGTGTGTGTGTATATGAGTGTTTCCTAATACTGGGTTACAGCTGTACAGCCATCCGCTGTGTAAAAAATATGCTGAAATAGTTGGCGGTTCATTCCACTGTGGTGAACCCTAATAAATAATGGAACTAAGCCTAAAGAAATTGAATAAATGTGTGTGTTTATATGTGTGTGTGTGTGTGAGAGACTCACAGAAGGGCAGATGATGAGCCCGTACGGTCCCTCTCTCTTACAGAAAGGCAGGCGTTTCTCCTGCTCCAGGCAGAACATGATGATGGGCAGAGTGAAGACCAGCGTTTTCCCCGAACCCGTGAACGCAATGCCAATCATGTCCCTGCCGGAGAGACTGAAGAAACAAGAGGAGCTTTATTGAGAGCACGCATTCAATATCAACATGTTCCTTCACTTTCAGACTGTACTATCAGTCAGTGTTGGGTGTAATGAGTTGCATCATAAGTAGTCGCATATAATGAAAAGTAAAGTAAGGGATCACTGACAAAAGTCAAATATATGTTCTTAAATTACATATTTACAGAAACAGATTTTGAGTTTTTCAAAAATATACATAAATAAAGCAAATATTAACATTTTACTCAAACCCACTACCAATACATTTAGTCAACACAGATAAACTAATATAATTCAAATGGTCTATCTTTTTTCCCCACTAACCGGCCACTTTATTAGGTACACCTCACTAGTACCGGGTTGGACCCCTTTTGCCTTCAGAACTGCTTTAATCCTTCATGGCGTAGATTCAACAAGCTGCTGTAAATATTCCTCAGAGATTTTGCTCCATGTTGTCATGATAGCATCACACAGTTGCTGCAGATTTGTCGGCTGCACATCCATGATGCCAATCTCCCGTTCCACCACATCCCAAAGCTGCTCTATTGGATTGAGCTCTGGTGACTGTGGAGGCCATTTGAGTACAGTGAACTCATCGTCATGTTCAAGAAACCAGTCTGAGATGATTGAGCTTCATGACATGCTGCGTTATCCTGCTGGAAGTAGCCATCAGAAGATGGAGACACTGTGCTCATAAAGGGATGGACATGGTCAGCAGCAATACTCAGGTAGGCTGTGGCGTTGATGCTCAATTGGTACTAATGGACCCAAAGAAAATCTCCCCCACACCATTACACCACCACCACCAGCCTGAACCGCTGATACAAGGCAGGATGATCCATGCTTTCATGTTGTTGAGGCCAAATTGTGAGCCGAGCATCCGAATGTGTCAGCAGAAATGGAGACTCATCAGAGCAGCAACGTTTCTCAATCTTCTATTGTCCAGTTTTGGTGAGTCTGTGTGAATTGTAGCCTCAGTTTCCTGTTCTTAGCTGACAGGAGCGGCACCCGGTGTGCTCTTCTGCTGCTGTAGCCCATCCGCCTCAAGGTTGGACGTGTTGTGTGTTCAGAGATGCTCTTCTGCAGAGCTCGGTTGTATCGAGTGCTTATTTGAGTTACTGTTGCCTTTCTATCAGCTGGAGCCAGTCTGGCCATTCTCCTCTGACCTCTGGCCTCATCAACAAGGCATTTGCGCCCACAGAACTGCTGCTCACTGGATATTTCCTCTTTGTCGGAGCATTCTCTGTAAACTCTAGAGATGGTTGTGCGTGAAAATCCCAGTAGATCAGCAGTTTCTGAAATACTCAGAGCAGCCCGTCTGGCAGCAACAACCATGCCACGGTCAGAGTCACTTAAAATCCCCTTTCTTCCCCATTCTGATGCTCGCTCTGAAATGCAGCATCTTGACCATGTCTACATGCCTAAATGCATTGAGCTGCTGCCATGTGATTGGCTGATTAGAAATGTGTTTGAACCAGCAGATGGACAGGTGTACCTAATAAAGTGGCCGGCAAGATTTTTTTTCATAGAAATTCTGACTTTTTTTCAGCAATATGAGGTTACTCAAATGAATAAACATATTTACCACGATTCATAGTATAAGTTACAGTAATGTAAAAGCACAGCGTGTTTCCCCCTGACTCTGCATAATAAAGCCGAACATCATCTGAAGCTAAAGAGCGGTGTACAGACTCACATGGTTGGTATTCCCTGAATCTGAATGGGTGTCGGGTGAACGATCCCCTTCTTCTTCAGTCCTTTCAGAATGGCTGCAAAAAGCATTAGCATCATTAGCATGAAGATGTAAATGTAAAAGAGGTGTGATGGCTGGATCTTTACCCTGAGGAAACTTCATCTCTCTGAAGCTCTTGATGGGAGCGGGAATGCCTTCTCCCTCCACCAGAATGTGGTATTTCTTCCTCACACGCTCATGTCGTACCGCCGGCATGCTCAGGATATACCGAGGAGCATTCCAGCTGAGGGAAAAATAAATCAGGATTCACTTGATGGTGTTTTATTATAAAAACACAAAGAGTTTAACATATTGGGGCCTGTACCATAAAGCTGGATTAGCTGGCTAACTAGATATATTTTAGTTTAAGCTGCATCTTTGGTTTTAGATGAAGGTAGCTAGGTTTTATTTGCTCTTTGTTGCCATAGTGACCTATGTTGTACAGCTAACCTGTTCTACAGTATGCTATTTTCTGTTTATATTATGTTTATATACTGCTTATGTTCAGGTTATGTTCCGATTCTGCACAGATTATTCTCAGGTTATGCTATGATTATGTTCAGGCTATTTTCATGTTCATGTTATTGTTATGTTATTGTTATGTTCTGCCTATGTTCAGATTATGCTCAGTTTATGTTTTAGTTATGCAATGATTAAGTTCAGGTTATTTT